CAGTTTCCTGGTTATGTCATATGATGTGAAGTAACAGTTCCCTGGTTATGTCATATGATGTGCAGTGAAAGTTCCTTGGTTATGTCATATGATGTGAAGTGACAGTTCCCTGGTTATGTCATATGATGTGAAGTGACAGTTCCCTGGTTATTATATATGATGTGAAGTAACAGTTCCCTGGTTATGTCATATGATGAGAAGTAACAGTTCCCTGGTTATGTCATATGATGTGAAGTAACAGTTTCCTGGTTATGTCATATGATGTGAAGTAACAGTTCGCTGGTTATGTCATATGATGTGCAGTGAAAGTTTCATGGTTATGTCATATGATGTAAAGTGACAGTTCACTGTGCGTATTATATGATGTAAAGTGACAGTTCACTGTGTAAATTATATGATGTGAAGTGACAGTTCCCTTCCTCATCTACTTTTTTGCCCAGACATCTCCTAAAATTATAGGCATTGTTTAACACGCATTTTTAAAAGCCTTGTATTTAAAAGCTGTATTCTTCTTCTTCTACCTTTATAACCCCCCAGTGGAGCATAGGCCCTCAACCAACCCACACCAAGTCGTCCTATCCTTCGCTATCGCATGCTGCTCTATCCATGTCCTCCCCATCTCTTTAACTTCTATCTCTAGCTCCCTTCCCCAAGTGTTTTTTGGTCTTACTTTATTTTTATGCCCCGTCGGTTTCAGTACAAAGACATACTAGTTATTATGTTCTCAGTTTGTTTTTCAACCTGAGTCCTATTCAACGCCATCGTCTTTTCTTGACCTCTGGTTCAAACTTGTTTAATTCTCGTCCAAAGCTATACATTAGTGATTCTATCGTATTATTTAATTCCCTCTATTCTGAATGTTTGTAGTTTATTATTAACTAGCAGTTCCCGCCACGCATTGCTGTGGCTCAGTCTGGCAATATGAAAAAGAAAGAAAGCAGAAAGCGCACGTCTCTAATATGGTTAATATCACAATCATTGTCTGCGCAGAAATAGAGGTAGTCTGGTTTGCCAGCACCATATCCACCCCAGCTACCATTTTTGCAGCCCCTAAATAAATAAGTTCTTCTTTCATGTGAAAGATTTTTGTGGCCCATTTTCTGTCATGTTCTTTCTTTTTCTTTATGTAATTGATTAGATTACCAACTGTGAATGAGAACATCTACATTATTTCATCTTGACCAAATTATGCGTTTTAACCGTATGTATGGGGAAACTGGGGAGTCGCCGTGGCGTAGCGGTTAGATGCTCGCGTGCGGATCGGAAGGTCGTGGGTTCGCTCCCTGACGGAGCTGACTTTTTTCAAAAATGACTTTGACTCCCAGGTCGACACAGCCTTGATTGGGTACTGGGTGCAATCCCAGGAAGTAAAGGCAGCCGGCGTGATTCTGACCACATCACCCATCTTGTGCCGATTTGTCTTTAAAAATATAGTTCTAGCCTTAAATGCCCTATACGCTTAAAGGCGTGGAAAGGGGACCATTACTTTTACTATGGAGAAACTGTGAAACGTTGATATTATTGCAGGACTCGATACTGTCTCCCGTTGCTGTGAGCCTGCACAATGCGCAATGCTGACTATCTCAGGGGACTTGAGATGTTATTCTCAACTAGTCTGGACTCTAACTTCACAGGGTAAGTCATAGATTTCGTTAATATATTTTTAAAAATGTCTCTTTCTAATGTCCTCTGGGGCTTAAGGGTTGCAAATTCTTGATACTCGGTTTGATTCCAACTGCGGATAATTTGACAGCAGACTGCTTTGCGTTGATTTCGAGTATAGCATCGAGAGCCGACAATTAGTGCAGTGCCAAACTGTAGATACAATTGCCTAGTAACTCCACAAACCAAGGCTATGCTATCAGTATCAAACATGGACATTGTCTTTAAAAGACAGAAGAAAAATAATCACGGCCGAATTGACATGTTTTACGTACAATGCTAGACCAGTGACTCTTAACCTTTCTGAGGCCGCGACCCGTTAATGCAGTTCCTTATGTTGTGGCGAACTCCCATCCCACCCCAAACATACAAGTTTTGTTGCTACTTAATAACTTCAATGATTATGTATTTTGCTATGGGTTTTGCAACCCCTGTGAAATGGTTGTTCGACCCCTCTCCCCTCCCCCCCCCCCAAAAAAAAAAAGATTGCGATCTATAGACTGAGAACCGCTGTGCGAAATGAATAAGAACACATCGTCTAAGGAAAGATAATATCAGGTGGAGAGTGGGTACAGAAGTGGATGGATGAGAATGGAGGTGGAGGCGGTCACTGCAGCTTGCCGGTGGATAGAGAACAAGATGCATACACATGTCGTAATTGAAACGGACTCTGAAAGCATGCTGAAAAAGGTGAAGACAAGATTGCATCGAGCAGAGTGGCAAGCCTCACTTGCAGGTTCACAGGTAGTTCAAAGGTAGCATACTTAGGATCTTCCCTCCAGGCAATGCCGGCGTGGTGGGAAATAAACTTGCAGACATTCTAGCTGGATCTGCACCGCTGGGTGGTGATTTGATAGAACCTTTTGGGAACAAGTAACAAAGTCAAAAGAGAAACTAGATTATTATGGGCTGGAGAGAATGATGCACCTGTGTGTGACCAGAAGGTTTGACCGGCACACTACGCTTACAGGAGAGGCAAGACGGACATACAACCAGACTACCACTGGCACCTTCAGTGTTGGAACTTTGCGATGGCTGATGAAGATGGGAACGGAGCGCGTATGGGAATGCCCCGAGTGCTGTGATGTCAATTTTTGACTCAACTCACTAAAAAAAAAAAAAAAAAATTACTTTCTTTGCACTTCCCAGTTTATTTATAATTTTTGTACGTTTGTAACAATGATACAGCTATTTTATTTATGGGTAAAATGATGTACGCATCCGTTTGTTACTAATACTATATCCGTTTGTTACTAATACTATATCTATGTGTTACTAATAATATATCCATTTGTTACTAATACTATATCCGTTTGTTGCTAATACTATATCCATTTGTTACTAATGCTAATGAATGCATCAGTTTATTAGTAATAAAGATGGATTTATCCACTTGTTAGTAATATTAAAGTGTGTATCCGTATGCAGAAGTTAAAGATGCATTGCACCATATGAAGAAATGAAAAGCACACGGGCCAGACAACATCTCACTGAAGAAATCGAAGCACTGGAAGATTTTGGAATTGAAATAATAACTAAGCTTTTAAATGATGTTTATAATAGTGGGTATATTCCAAATGACCTTTTAAAATCCATATTTATAGCTCTAATAAAGAAACCAGGCACTTTAAAATGTGAAGACCATCGCACAATAAGTCTTGTGAGTCACATGACTAAGATTTTACTGAGAATAATTATGAGAAGAATAAAAAACGAAATTAAACCAGAAATGAGCGATGAACAATGCGGATTTGTAGAAGGAAAAGGTGCAAACAATGCCGTATACATTCTGAGGACATTGTCAGAAAGAGCTATAGAAGTAAAGACTGATTTGTAAATATGCTTCATAGACCATACAAAAGCAATTGAATGTGCGAAACATGAAGAAGTGATCCAACTGTCGGAAAAATTAAACATTGACGGAAAAGATTTACGAATAATAAAGATTATGTATTGGCAGCAAACAGCAGCTATAAGAATGAACAACTGTTTAGAAGAGGGGCGTACGGCAAGGATGTGTTTTGTCACCTGATTTATTTTAACTATAAAGTGAATATATAATAAGATCTTTCATTGATATGCCCGGAATTGTGGCTGGTGGGCACACTATAAACAATTTACGTTATGCTGATGACACAGTCTTGATAGCAACAAGTCAGAAAGAACTACAGGAAATGATAGATATTGTGGTGGTAGAAAGTGGAAGAATGGACCTCAGTTTGAATAATGGAAAGACAGAAGTAATGGTGGTATCAAAGAAAATAATTATTTCTAAATGTGTAATAAAAGTCAATGGTGTTATTTTAGGACAAGTGCAGAAATTTAAGTATCTGGGCACATGGATAACATCAGATGGAAGATGCATTACTGAGATAAGAAACAGAAAAGGACAGGCAAAAGCTGCATTTTATAAAATAAAGAACATCTTATGCAATATATCTTTGTCATTGAGGGTTAGAAAAAGAATTCTTGCTTGCTACATACATCTAGTTTTAACATATGGCTGTGAGTCCTGGACGATCGGTAGGCAGGCAAAACAATTTCTTGAGGCCTCAGAGATGAGGTTTTGCAGAAGAATGCTTAAAATGTACCGCTAAAAAGAGCAACCAATAAATAGGCTGCTGATACATGCTGCAGGGAATCGCAGAATGTGGAGAGGCATGATCGCCCACGCCAGTTGGCAAGGCACCTGATGATGATGATTCACATGTGAAGGATAATAATATATGTACCACTCTGTTAGTAATAATAATACATTTAATAATTTGTTAGTAACAATAATTCTTTATCCATTTGTTAGCAATAATTATATATTTATCCATTTGTTAGTAATAGTGATATATTTATACATTAGTTAGTAACTGTGACATATTTATCAATTTGTTAGTAATAGTGATATATTTATCCATTAGTTAGTAAAAGTGATATATTTATCCATTTGTTAGTAAAAGTGATATATTTATCCATTACTTATTAAAAGTAATATATTTATCCATTTGTTAATAATATCCATGTATTTATTAGTTTTTTGTGTGTGTAATACCGATGTTTGTATCTTTTTGTTAGTAGTACCGATGCATTTATTCGTTTGTTAGCAATGCTGATATATTTATCTATTTCTTTGTATTACCGATACATTTGTCCGTTTCTCAGTGACACCGATATAATAATCCTTTTTGAATTAGTAAAACCAATGTATGTATCAGTTTGTTAGAAACATTTTATATTGATTCTTGTGTTAGTAATACAGTTCTATTTATCCACGTGTTAGTAATTATCATGTATGTATCCACTTGGTTTTAATAAGAATACTTTTATCCACTTATATATAACTTCAGAACTGCGTGTGATGATGCAGAGATCGACTACTACCTGTTCTACCAGTTCTGCCTCATCCCTGCAGTAAGTATAACATCATCGTCATCAGAATCTCCAACGTTGTCACATGAAACGAAGGTTGACACAGTGTTGTAGTTTACAGTTAGGCTGCGATATCTGCACCTTTGTGCCGAACACAACACTTGAACAATCTATCCGTAATCTCCAACGTTCGCACTTAAAACGAATGTTTACAATGGTGTTGTAGTTTACAGCTAGGCTGCGATATCTGCACCTTTCTGCCCAACACAATACACACACACGATCTGTCCGTAAAGGGGACACAATTGTTTCATGTTAAAGCCACAACACGGCTGGGCTTCAGGTTACATCGTCGTGATCGACATCAGGGGCCCTAAAATAATCTTACTGTTGAACGGGGTGTCTGCGACTTCCGATTGGGGGTAAGGGAAAGGATTCTCTTCCAAATGATGGCACTTTGTGTCACCGGGAAATAATTGCTCGTTGTGCGATCCTAATGGAGTTAAAAGTCACCCACAACTTAGCACATGCCAGCAAACCCTTAATGAGTCGGCTTTTATTACATGCTTGCTTAGATGCGTTGGTCTATTCATTCTTTCTCCCACCCTCAATAGAACCCCAGGAACCCAAGCGATCACATCATCTAACATACTTAATTGCTATGCTAGAATATTGTAAATCAAATGGCAGAGAAACTGGAAAAAAAAGCGCTTTTAGTGTATTTCAGCGTCTGTGGCTTAGACGTTGTTGCGAACACGCTTCGTAATGCCGGATTTCATCCGAGTGCAGACTATCTGTCTTGCGTTGGTTTCGACAGTGGTACTGATAGCTGACCAGTCATAAAACAATGGCAAACTACTGAACGTAAAATTTGCCTAGAAAAACAGCCAAAACTGCTGGGTTTAGTACTACAACAACGTCCTGTAAAGGATCTGTAACTAACTAACATAAGCGCATACCATAGTCATTGAGATACAACGACGACATTTCTCAAGATCCTCTAAAGTACATAGAATAGACAGGATTATGTCTTGCTTGTCCAGGATTTTCCCACTCTTGATCTAAATTGTTTAACCCAAGGGAAAGTTTCTGTAGAATGTAGAATATTCTCGTGTGGGTTTCGGGGCCTCACTGAAAAAAACACACACACCAATAATAGACCCACTGAATCCCTAACAAGCATGTCGTAAGAGTCGAATAATTGGGGATTTCTTTCGAAGTCGAAGTCCATCTGCATGAGAGGCAAGTAATCAACAGACTGCTTACAGAAATGTCAAATCTTTAAAATGGATGTTTACGCAACACTCAGGTTCTGGAACAAGTCTAAAGTTCAGAGGTGGACAAACAACCAGAACTTTCCACCGGCGTTTACAGCCGGTGAACGTAAAGAAGAAAAAGAAGAATCTATAAGTAGATCTAATTCGTGTTTTTTACACCAAGGTAGAATTACCCTCGTATTTTTAATATGGAACTGGATACGTCATGCACAGTCCTAATCTCATTTATAGAACTGTAACTCAGTTCATAGGCGTTTCACAAAAATATGATATTCGAGTGTGTCAGTTTCTGTACATTCTCTCCCCCCCCCCCCCTAAGTATATATTTTTAAGGGAAACACAAATTGTTAGCCGATATAGAAAACAGAAATTCGCCACTTTAGGAAAACAGAAAATAATCACCTATGCAGTTTTAATTTATAAAATCATAAAGACATGAAAAAATAATCTAAAAACACATTCGCGCTGATCTGAATGGAAGTTTCCGAGATGTTTGTTAAAGATTGAGGGAATTTTGGAACGGGCCATGGATAAATGTTCTATGCAAGTTTAAATTATACAATCATAAATCCAATAACACATTCGCGTTGATCTGTAAGGGAGCTTTCGAGATGTTTGTCAAAGTTTGAGGGAGTTGTGGAAAGGGCCATGGATAGATGTTTTTACAAATATTTAACTGTAGCTGTATTTTCTGTAAATTACAAAACCCACAACTTTAATTCAGCTGAATACTGAATACACTGAATACTGAATACAGATCAGATTTACGAGTAGATATAAACCATTGATCCTTGGCATCATGACACGTAATAGACTGAAATGACAGGGTATAGTGTGAGAATGTCAGGGGACAAGAGAGGTAAAGTCTGTATACACAAGGGAGCTGAATGGTCGTAGACCATGAGGAAGACCAAGAAGACAATGGAGAGATAGTGTCAAGACAGACCTGCAAACACTTGGTGTCACCAACTGGAAAGAGAGATGAGTGGAGGCGGGGGATGTCTGTAGCAATAAACCTCAAGGGCTCGGGATGATGAAGAAGACCAGCCAAAGAGATGAGTGGAGGCTGTAGCAATGAACCTCAAGGGCTCGGGATGCTGAAGAAGACCAGCCAAAGAGATGAGTGGAGACTGCAGCAATGAACCTCAAGGGCTCGGGATGATGAAGAAGACCAGCCAGAGAGATAAGTGGGGGCTGTAGCAATGAACCTCAGGTGCTCGGGATGCTAAAGAAGAGGGAAAAAAAAATGCACAGTGGTTCTTATCCTTCCCAGTGCCAAATCGTCTATGAAATGCCAGTATAACACTATAAACCAGATATCTCAATGGCATTAAAAGGATACTTTAAAACTAAATAAAAGCCCTGTAAAAATGCTGTTTATGTAAAATAAAAATAAAAAATGACAAATAAAAATTCATTTGATAGTCATTGCACACCTAAGGAATTCACGTTCATATATTGATCTTGAAATCTTACCGCTGGTGCGTGGATATTGATTACTGCAAATGTGTGTCATTTAACGCTGCAAAACTCTGTGTGTTTAGAAGTTGCTCAGGGCACATGTTGTACACAGTATTATCAATAATGTTGAATAAATAAATGCAATTGAAGCAGCTAGTATATACAGAGTGGAGGCTTAAAAAAAATAGCTCAAACCACTGAATCAAATTGATTTATTTAACTAAAAGCTTGTTGAATAGTTGATTTTCTGTCTCAAGAGATTCTAACGATGAAAACTAAATACGAAAATAAATATTTGGCGGACAAAACAAACAACAGCAAAAGGTCTGTCATTATAGCTGTGTTTGGTGACTTGTCTCTCTGTAGTCTCAGCCTGTTAGGTTTTACTCCGTTTTATCACAGTATCGTTTTGTTCTGAGTTTACTAAACCGTCATTGGCACAATGCGGACAGGTTTAATCAGACATAATTTACTGCTCTTGACAGGACGGTTTGTGAAACAAGGTGCAGAAAGAATTCACTGATATTTAACAGAATGCATCGAGCAAAACAACAACCTAGAAATGAGAAAATACACCATAGACAAGGATTAATTTGAAAGTTCAGGCAAAGTGTTTAAACCATTTGCACTATTATTGCATTGCTGTAGAAGATTATTCAGCCAGGTTTATTAAAAAAATCCTTCCTTCCTTCCTTCCTTCCTTCCTTCCTTCCTTCCTTCCTTCCTTCCTTCCTTCCTTCCTTCCTTCCTTCCTTCCTTCCTTCCTTCCTTCCTTCCTTCCTTCCTTCCTTCCTTCCTTCCTTCCTCCTTCCTTCCTTCCTTCCTTCCTTCCTTCCTTCCTTCCTTCCTTCCTTCCTTCCTTCCTTCCTTCCTTCCTTCCTTCCTTCCTTCCTTCCTTCCTTCCTTCCTTCCTTCCTTCCTTCCTTCCTTCCTTCCTTCCTTCCTTCCTTCCTTCCTTCCTTCCTTCCTTCCTTCCTTCCTTCCTTCCTTCCTTCCTTCCTTCCTTCCTTCCTTCCTTCCTTCCTTCCTTCCTTCCTTCCTTCCTTCCTTCCTTCGTCGTCTTTTTTCGTCGTCTTCTTCGTCGTTTTTTTTCTCCGTATTCTTCTTCTTCTTCTTCTTCTTCTTCTTCTTCTTTTTTTCTCTTCTTCTTCTTCTCTTCTTCTTCTTCTTCTTCTTCTTCTTCTTCTTCTTCTTCTTCTTCTTCTTCTTCTTCTTCTTCTTCTTCTTCTTTTTTCTTCTTCTTCTTCTTCTTCTTCTTCTTCTTCTTCTTCTTCTTCTTCTTCTTCTTCTTCTATTATTATTATTATTATTATTATTATTATTATTATTATTATTATTATTATTATTACACAGGCAAATCATACATCTAAACTGAGTGTAGTCAAGAACCGACTTCACAGCACTCCGGCACTCTGTCTTCATCTTCCACAGCCACCGCAGATTTCCAGTACTGATAGTGCCGGTCGTAGTCTGGTTGTATGTCCGTCTTGCTTTTCATCTGAGCGTAGTGAGCCGGCCAGACCCTCTGGTTACACCCAGGTGCTTAACTCTCTCCAGGTCATAATAATAATTTCTCTCCTCTGAATTCGTTGCTTGTTCCCAAATGGCCTTGACCGTATCTGCTTTGAGATGCATCAATTCACCACCCTGTGTTGCAGATCCAGCCTATCTGTTTGCCTGTTTATTCCCCGCCACGCCGGATTGGCCTGGGGAAAAAAATTAAAAGTATGCTCTCTACCCGAGACCTTCACAATGAAGCTTGCCACTCTGCTCGAAACATCCCTGTCTTAATTTTTCTCAGCATTCTTTTAGAGTCTGTTACAATCACGGCATTTGTATGCATCTTGTTCTCTAGCGACTGAAAAGCTGCAGTTACCCCCCTCCACCTCCATTCTCATGCTAGATGTTGTAGTATCGTATACTAGGTTGTCCTGCACTAAAGATTTTCTATTGGTTTACGCTACGAAACCCAGGCACTTCACCTCCCTCTCCGCACCGAACCATCTGTGTCGATAATCAGATCATCAGCGCCAGAATTGTCGTCTATCAACTTCCACCTCCGTAGCACTCGCTGGCCACTCTCTGCAAGCCCGGCACCATGTGATTATGACCCTACACCGTTCAGCCATTTCCTTTGGTACTCTGACCCACTCCTTTCCTCGCTAAATATTCTCAAGCATGCATTCTTGTCTTATTGTGTCATCTGCTTGTTGCACCATCCAGGATCCCCCCCCCCCACCTTTTCAGCCTGCAGTCGAAGCTTCATACAGATGGTGCTCTTTGTCTGCAGCTACTCTGAGATATGACTTAGCGTGCAGCACCTTTCCCAAAAATCGCAGTCTGCTGTCTCCACTGATGTCCCTGCCTTTTATCTGAGGCTTGGAACATCAGCTCTAACAATCCTGTTGTTTAAAGAACAGCATAGGACGGTTTCCTTTTCTGGGTTGATTACAGCACTCATCTCTGTACACTAGTCGATCACCTTATCTACTGTCGCCTCTAACCCTTTAGCTATTTGATTTTGATCTCTTCCTTCCTATATACGAGAATATTATCTGCAAACGTCAGTATTCTGCTAACTCAAGGTGTTTTCATCTAAATGCAATTTGAGGGCTATTATTAATCACTCTTGCAATTCGCCGAATCACTAAAGGTATACATGCGAATTCCTACTTCAGATAGGGCTAATAAAAATATCTCTCACCCTTCTTTTTATAGTCAATGCCATGTTGCGTTGGCAGTCATGTCTTATCCACAACCTTTTGTCTCGTGTATTTTCAATCAGTTATCACACATAAGATCCTCCATTCCATGATGTCAGATTGTCCCACATCTTCTCTGTCTCCTTCTGCCTCTTTTCCCCTCTAGATTTTCAGCTGTCACGATGTACTCTACTTCTCCTTCTCATGACACGAAAAAACAGTGTAGACTGTCAGGCAAATATGCTGTTGTTATCTAATCTCACTATTCAAACGTGATTTTCTCTAATCATGGATTCGATACTTAGATGAATTGACGTAGTGCCAACAATTTTTTTGATCGCAATGATAATATCATGAACATTTTTTATCAGGTTGTACTCACACTCTTGATGGCAGCTACAAAACCTCGCAGACAGAAGCTGTTACACTTTCTCTATGGCCGTCCTGGTCTCGTCTTGTAAGTGTTGCTTTCATTATGAAGTGTATAGACATTCACGCTTTCAGTACCAAAAACAGCGAGGGAATACTGTGGATGCACAGATAGATCTTAACCGTCTGAGGAGAATGGCGCTGCACGAAGTTACTAGGGGATCTGATAGACACTCTGGGGAATGGCGAGACGGATATACATCAGACAGTTACTGGTGCCATCGGAATTAAAACTTGTCGATGCTGCTGAAGATAGGGACTGAGCTCTTATGGTAGTGTCACGATGCTATGATGTTGATTCTTAATTAAACATTCAACATTACAAAAACAGTTAGTTCTGCATCTGCATGAGAGGCGAAGAACCAACAGTCTAAATAAACAAATACGCACGCAAAACTCAAATTCTGGAACAAGTCCAAAGCCCAAAATGGACGAACAACCATAACTTTCCGCCTGAGTTTACAGTTGGTGAACAGAAAAGATATGGGAAGGAAAGGTGCCAAGAATGGAAGTGGCCACCACACCTCATATGTCGTGGTCTGGCATGTTTGACGGCCAGTATCTGCTATGAGACCGCCTTTAAAAGTAAAAATAATTTTTCCCGCCTCTAGGCGCATTAGGCATACGGTAAGAGCACTCTTATTTGTACAGACGAATCGGCACAGGGTGGGTAATGTGGTCAGCATTACATCGGCCATTTTTATTTCCCCAAGACTTACATCCTTGTACCCATTTTATCTTGGGTCGACATGCGACGCCTAATACCACGACAGACTACCCTTGCCTTTCACAAACATCCATCATTATCGACACCCCCCCCCCCCCTTTACCCTTTTCCACCAGCTATACTGATGTAAGATTTATATTAATATTTATTTGTAAATATATAGCCAACGCTGTCGGCGCGCGTCTGCGGCTTGGGCGTTGCGAACGAGCTTCGTGATTCTGAAATATCCAGTTTTAATTTGCGAACGATTTGGCAGCAGATTGCTTTGCATTGATTTCGACTATATCACGGAGCGTCGAATTTTTGAGTGAGCACCGGGAAACTAGACAACGTAAAATTGTCAAGTGACCAACCAAAAAAAAAAAAAAAATGTGAATGGCTCTGTAACGTCTTGCTGAAGATCCAACGTTGAAATTTGTGATGTTAAAAAACGAAGGGCCTTTTTAGATGCCAGAGTTGCATCAAGTATCAAGACCACCCCGACCGCCTTTGCTTCCCAGGACTTTATCTGAAATCCATGGACCTGGAACCAAGGTCATATTTTAAGGGGGGGGGGAGTAGGGGACAAATTCGTGCGGATTTGAACTCATGAACTTCAAAGCGTTTGACCGCTACACCACCACTGCGGCTACATATGTTGATAAAAAATCCACATTACATACAGTTAGATAAAGTAAGTTACGTATCCTTCATTTGACGTTTGCAGAACCAACTCCAGTATTTATTGGCTGTTGGGGTTTTTCTAGGCAAATTTTACGTTTAGTAATTTGCCATTGTAAAACTAAACGGTCAGCTCTCAGTACCACTGTCGAAACCAGACAAACTGTCCACAGCAGGGATCATGAATCGCGTTCGCAGCGCCTAAGCCACAAACGTCGACAGATATATTGAAATAAGGAAATTCAGTAAAAATACAGAGTAACTGTGAAAAATAGTACAAGGCAATTAAAAAGTAAAAAATACAGAACATTGATGAACTATTAATACGAAGAAAAGAATGGCAAATTACATCAAGATGTAAGAGGTAAGTGAACGAAAGCAAAAGGATATTCTCATATAATCAATAGTTTTACTGGCGGAAAAACAAAGGTCAGCACCGGATGCTAGAAAACAATGACAGAAAAACACACACCAGAGAGAGAGAGAGAGAAACACACACCAGAGAGAGAGAGAGAGAAAAACACACACCAGAGAGAGAGAAAAACACACACCAGAGAGAGAGAGAGTGAGAGAGAGAGAGAGAGAGAGAGAAAAACACACACCAGAGAGAGAGAGAGAGAGAGAAAAACACACACCAGAGAGAGAGAGAGAGAAAAAAAAAAAACACACACCAGAGAGAGAGAGAGAGAGAGAAAAATACACACCAGAGGGAGAGAGAGAAAAACACACACCAGAGAGAGAGAGAGAAACACACCAGAGAGAGAGAGAAAAACACACACCAGAGAGAGAGAGAGAGAGAGAGAGAGAGAAACACACACCAGAGAGAGAGAGAGAAACACACCAGAGAGAGAGAGAGAGAGAGAGAGAGAGAGAGAGAGAGAGAAAAACACACACCAGAGAGAGAGAGAGAGAGAGAAAAACACACACCCTTTTCCACGCCGTTCCTAGGCATACAGGACACATAGAGCTAGACCAAAATTTAAATAGACCAATCGGCAAGATGGGGGATGTGGTTAGCAAAACGCGGGCCGCCTTCACTTCCCAGAACTGCATCTGGTACCCACTCAAGGCTGGGTCTACCTGAGAGCCAAAGTCATTTTTTGAAAAAATGTCCGGCTCCGCCAGGGAGTGAACCCACGACCTTCTGATCAACAGGGAAGCTTCCAGCCGCTACGCCACGGCGACTCCCATCGTTCAAGTTTGACGGAGACTTACTCGAGTATACGCTAAAATCAATGTTTATCGTTCAAGTTTGTCAGAGACTTACTCGAGTATACGCTAAAATCAATGTTTATCGTTCAAGTTTGACAGAGACTTACTCGAGTATACGCTAAAATCAATGTTCATCGTTCAAGTTTGACAAAGACTTACTCGAGTATACGCTAAAATCAATGTTTATCTTTTAAGTTTGACAGAGACTTACTCGAGTATACGCTAAAATCAATGTTTATCGTTCAAGTTTGACAGAGACTTACTCAAATATACGCTAAAATCAATGTTTATCGTTCAAGTTTGACAGAGACTTACTCGAGTATACGCAAAAATCAATGTTTATCGTTCTAGTTTGACAGAGACTTACTCGAGTATACGCTAAAATCAATGTTTATCGTTCAAGTTTGACAGAGACTTACTCGAGTATACGCTAAAATCAATGTTTATCGTTCAAGTTTGACAAAGACTTACTCGAGTATACGCTAAAATCAATGTTTATCGTTCAAGTTTGACAGAGACTTACTCGAGTATATGCTAAAATCAATGTTTATAGTTTCAAGTCTGAAACAGTAAGCATATAGTTAAAAAAAAAATGTGGATCTGCTTTGCTTTAGCAAATGGAGTGTTGATTTCTGTCTTCATATTTCTTTCTGATGTAAAAAGTCACACTAGTATATATCTAAACTCACTTGTTTCTTTCATCACTTTGTTATTTACTGTTATTGATATGGTTTGTTGTTGTCTATCACAATTGCCTCTGTTTTTTTTTTTTTCGTAAGCTTATTCTCATACTACATTTCTGGTACTTAATGTGAACTCCACTTATGAGATTCTGTAGAATCTTTGGTTTCTGCTTTTATTATTTGATCATTCACAAACAGTAATTTAGAAATATTATTGTCTTCCCTGTCTCCAGCGCTTTTGCAAACACGCCAAGGAACGTTATGAAAAGTAGGAAAGATAACACACATTCCCATCTCGTACTCCTCAATAGACTTTAAGATTTAGCCGTGCCTGTTGTGTTTGTAAACAGCTTTTACTTGATGCATACATACTCTTGCAAAGTTTGATAGGGCGCTTTAATGGCAAAATATTGGACGTAAATAATGTTAGTTGCATATCCTTTACAGGACGTTGCAGAACCAACCCCGGCATCCCGTGGCTGTTGTGTGGTTTCTATAGGCAAATTTACGTCCAGTACTTTGCTTTTGCTTTTAGGACGGTCGGCCCCCTGATACCACTGTCAAAACCAACGCAAGGCGCATAACCCTCACCTGGGATCGAACCCGGCAACCCGGCATTACGAAGCGTTCGCATCGACTTAGCCACAGAGCCGACTGGACGTAAAATCGTCTACCAAAACCTATAAACAGCCAACAAAACATATGGCCGGTTTGCGACGACTTGAAATGGACTTGTAGCTAACTTACTATTTTTGTACATACATCCAAACATGTAGCCCCATGGACACTCTGACAAGATCTTCTAGAATCTCCTATTGCTGTGCATTCGGTGCTATTGGCTTCACAGTATATGAGATCATATGGAAACAGCAGTACGCTATCGAATATTCTGGTCCAGTTGTTGTGAAAGGTAAACTCATCTGTCGTTACAATTAGTTATTCCATATATCATTATATGTATATGTATGTATATATATATATATATATATATATATATATATATATATATATATATATATATATATAAGCATCTACATTAATTAGCATTGCGTATTCTTAGTGTTGTTCAACCACCACACGTGATAATGACTGTTCGACCACAAATGGTTAGGGACAATCAGTTTAGAAAAAAAAAAAAAAAATAAACAAATTTCGGACATCCTACATGATCGAGGAAAATTGTTTCATAAACAGCATTCTGTCCCAAAAGGTGATGTATTTTGGCTATGCTGAGCGTCACAGTGGCCTAGAGAGAACGCGGATAGAATGTGCAATTTCCGGAAAGCGAGACCGATTCCGACTATCGCAAAGTAAGATACTAGACATTGAAGATATACTGGCTATGACAGCACACAAGGCTGGGGAATTGGCTAGAGCATGAAAGACTTCCAGGCGTGTCATGAAGAGAGAGAGAGAGACCTTCTGTAAAGGATCTGCTGACTGACGATGACATTAGAAGGAATGGATGAATCAATAACCAGAAGGATTTTATTGAATAATTGCACCGCATGCCGTCGTTCTCATGCACTCGCCAGGATCCATCTTATGCCAATGGCAAGACTAACGATGATTGCCAAGTTATCTGGAGATAAGTGCTCGATGATTTCTTCTGCGGTATACATCTAGTTTGCGATGTCTGCGACTTTGGGCCAATAGTGAGGCTCACCACTATCATCACGTGCCCTGCCAGTAGGCGAACATGTCTCTCCGCCGATTTCATTCTTTGGAAGTTTGAATTATTTTTACTGATGATATACCTCATTGCCATCGTTTCAGAACGCCAAGAATAGTCTATCTTGTTCTGCCTCTACATCCTCTACAGTTGATCTTCTTAGTCAACATATTACCGAAGAACAATAACTGTCTCTTTGCATATCTGTATAATGTTTTCTAATTCTTGCATAGGTGTTAAATGTTTTCTTATTCTATTAGCCATTTCCACGCAGTTGTTGTTAGTCACTTTGGCTGTCCACGGCATAAAGTGAAATATAAAGGAGTTTACAATTGAAATTTCGGTGTTGTGTGTACGAAATGGCAGCTCAGTGCGATAAACAGAACAGTCGCAGTAATGTATTAAAAAAGACAGCGAAAACAATATGCGATAAAAAGAGCGAATTGTTGTAGAACGTCTGTTTACGGAAAATTAAACCGGTAAATATTCGTAAACATGCGTGTGCACTGTTTGGAAGTTGTGCAGTCGATAGGGGCACCGTTGGTTACTGGGTTCAGAGAGCTGAAGCTTCAGAAAGGTAAAAGACGAAGTTAAAACTGTTATTCATAATTTGAAGCAGTGCCTCGGTAAATGGACAAAACCGTATACAGAAAATGCGTGCATATTCTTCTTTCTCATGGACGTAAGGAGATAGATGTAATTAAAAAAAATATAGAAAAGTAGAATATTTAAAGGAAGTAATGAGTTATACTGTCAGCGAATCGCATACATTTTGAACAAGGGACCAAGAAGACAAGCAATACTGACATCCTAAAAAATGTGAACATTAAGGAAGATTGACTGGTAAACAGCATCTTGTCTCCGAAACTAAACCTAGTTTGGCAATATCAAGCGCCACGATGGATTGGAAAGAATATTAACCGAAGACATTGTGCCAGTAAAAAAAGGACAGGGGCGGACCAGCACAAAAATGGGCACAGGATATGTGGTGGAAATGTGCATGAAATAGGAGATGTGGCGAAAGAAAATCTTTCTTGTGATGAAAGCAACGTTTCGCAGAGGACCTGCTAGTTGATGGTGATGACTTTTATGCCTTTCATTTGTACAATGGTTGATCCCTTCTAGTCAATATAGCCGGTAGCCAGTTAAGGTGTGGGCTGGTAAAATACCTTATGTAATAATTCTACATCTGTATAGCCAACTAATAGTGCCCGACTACTTTCATCAACTGCAGACTGCATTTATGATTGCGACTATTGGATTTGGCGCCTCCAGCAACTGAAATATGCATTTACTGCTTGCGAATATTTCTGGACTGAGCAGGGACTAATTGTTTGTTCACCAGTTTTTTTTTTTTTAATGGGGTAGTGAGAGATATATCAATTGATTTTCACGGTCACAGGAATGGAGCAAGTATAGGGTAACCCAATTGGAGTGACGTTAAAAGCCCCACTAAGTCATAGACTAAGACCATTATGCCAGGATGTATTGTCAGATCTTGTGTCATTTTGTTTGCATTTCAGTGATCGTGACAGTGTTAATCTACGGTATGGTCTACTTCCCGGTGTTTACAAGCCTGGCCCTGGGGACAGCCTTCTCTTACTTCCTAGGATCGCTTTATATTTGGATGTTCTTTGCCATTGAAATATATCAAGTCAACAATTGTGAATACGCTGCGGTGAGTATTGCTTCATTATTATCATCATCATCATTACCGATATCATCATCATCATCATCATCATCATTAACACATCTATCATCAATGTGAACACATCATCATCACCATTATCGTTATCGTCAGCAGAGTTTACGTACGGCGTGACAAGGCCAATCAGGAACCGAGACAATTAGTTAGTATCACTTCTGACAAATTTTGCATCCTAAAATCCTTGTCTTATGGCCTTAATAGTTATGTCTAAATCTTTCTGTCTCGTTTACTTTCAGTCAGTTCTGACACAGATTACCCTCCATGATGTCACACTGCTCATAATTTTCTTTATCTGTCTTCCTCTGCCTCTATTCCGCCCCATCGTTTTCACCATTGAATATGCACTCCATCTGTGCCCTTACCCTGACAGGATCAAACAGACTTGTTCCTATAAATTTTATATGAAAAGCGTGCGGGGTGGGGGTGGGCTGAAAGTCTTTAGCCTTGTATAAGTGCCCAGTTATAATAATTGTAATGATAATAACAATATTACAATTAATGGCAACAAAAAATAATAAAATATTGTATTTGGGGTAGGAAATGTAGAAAAAATCAAATAAAAATAGAATTTACAAACTGTTTCTCGTCTTCTGCCAACCCGTAATCTTCTTAACCACCCCACCTCTATAGGTAACTTCCTGTTTAGCCACAACATGTGCACTCAGGGTTTCTACTTTTCAGATCTGTTATTGTTATTTCTTTGACAGACTTAATACTACAGATAAGTGATTTTGTGTATTCTAGTTAATAATTGTACCAAGGTCTTTTTGCCTCGTATGCTGCTGAAGGTTTTCTGACTGTTACGTTAATTTTGTAGTTCGTGATTGTGAAATTGTGAAGATGATAAGTTCTAATTCTCATTTTTCCAGTGTAGGTTCCCGGGTCCCATTGAGTGATGACGACAATCTTTATTGGAAGTACAGGTAATACATAGACAGTTGACTTCCCGCCGTGTGGGTCCACCTATTGCCTGGACCCTCTGGCTGAACGGGCTTTACAATCGCCTCGTCCCCAGTACGTGCGACAGGCAATCTTCTGGTGTACAAACCACAACCCGGCAGGATACGCTCTCTTCTATCGCCACGCTGACCCAATCAAACTGTCACAGTCTCTGTCTTAGTGCAGGGTCAGAGTGTCAAGGTTAGCCACTCTCTCACAGCACATATACATAAATACTCTACACAAGAACTATCCTATCCTAACACAAAACTGTACATAAACTATCCAGTCACTAACAGAAATATCCTAACTCTAATACTATAACTTAAACTATCCAGTCACTAACAGAAATATCCTAACTCTAATACTATAACATAACTGTCTTGCTAAACGTCCTCTCTTCCTGACCGACGCACACCGAATGTCCTGTTCTCTCTCCCCCGTGTCTCTTGACCCCGTTCACCAGCTCAGTCCCAAAAGCAGTCATCGTGTTACTACAACACAGTTCAGTCTTTCTTGCTTTATCCTGAGCGCTGGTTTCGCCGTGCGATCACAGAACGGACTTGACCAGTCACGGCCCTGACCTTTGTGTCAACCCTGGGGTGTCACGTCAACACCCCCACCTACGGTGTGGTACACTGACTGTACTTGATAGGGTTGTGACATTCACCCTTCCTCTGAACTGATACTTCCTGACAAAGTCAAGTATCAGCAAAGCATGGCCTGCCATCATGTACAGTCATCTTTTTAAATTTTATCGTCAACATTTAGTTACCTAAAAAAAAAATAATACGTCATGTACTTTTGGGTCAATCACCTAAGGACAAACTATCTGGCACATATTTAATGGGTATATACATTCAATGGGCAAGCTCCTCCCTAATGGGTAGAAATGGTATCAGCCCTTGACACAAATACGTCACTACTCATTACACCTTCAAATCATATGGGTAATGATATAAATAATAATTTGGGTGGACACTCAAATCGTCCGGGACCCAATTACACCTTACTTCACTTACTGTGCAAGTAAGACGCCACTGTATACACTCCCAAGCCGTTTAACCAACGACACCGTGATTTATAACAGTGGGCGTCATGGACTATCCCCACAAGGCTTGTCCATGGTTGTGAAAAGGAGTCATGACCTGACTCCCCGACCTACAGTCGTATAATGTGTCCGCGAATCCGCAGTACCTGCCAAGACACAAATCACCCCATATGACCCACAGTGCAAAATAGGCAGTAAACAAATCTGTGGCCAGTTGGACACACTCCCATCCTCCAAGGATAGTGCTACTCCTCAAATGTAGTCTCCATATATGCATTATTAGTTACAACATCATTAACTCTTCATGTGAATGCCCTTGTAAAAGTACAATCTAATTTTCATTTAGATTGTCACTCATCAATTTTAGAAAAAAAAAAAAAAAAAAAAAAAAAAAAAAAAAAAATAAAGAAAATTTCGTTGTCACTGCTAAACTAAATTGTCAGTTATTTTCAAGTCTACTAGTTTACAAAACTATCTACCTATAATGCATTATTGTCTAACATATACTTTAACATTTACATTTGGTGCACATAAGACACTCAGTTAATATTAAACTCATTGAAACTTTTTATAAAAGTAATGGATTTCAGATTAAGTTTCAAAAACTGAAGAATATTATTATTGCAATTTGAGAATTTTAAAACAAAAGTAATTGCAAATCAAACAATTAACATTACTTATGTAATCTAACAAAAATCTTTAGCAAAGAAAAGAAAAGAAAGTATATTTGTAAAATCCAAATGGATTGTCACACAAATAATTTTACACTGAAAATAAATAAGCAAAATACATACATAATAATTTCACAAACAAAAATCATTACACTATATTCATTCCAACAAAACAATAAAATTTACAAATCAAAATAAATAAGCAAAATATACATGAAATAATTTTCAAACTCAAAATTATTTCCCTTTTATAAATACCACCTCAATAGTTACAAATCAAAAATAAATAAATAAATACCGATAAATACCGATAAATACTCATCATAGATACCAACACAATAATTACAAATCAAAAATAAATAAGAAAAAAGAAAAATTAGATAAATTACTCATCATAGATATCAACACAAAAGTTACAAATCAAAATAAATAAGAAAAATACACAAATAAAAATTGTGCAAACGAAATTGAATGAATAAACTTATCAATTCAAAACCAAATAATATACATGAAAGAAACATATACAACATATAGCACATACAGAACATATAAAACATATATAATCCATACAACATATATTATATTAAAGATGAACATAATAAGATTAACTTATAATATGACAATCACAACATAGACTTCTATTCTATACATTCATTCCCTTTTATTCCAATTACACTCTTCTTTCATACATCACATTTTCCATTCTGCTGAAGTCCTTAGAATGATCATCACCTCTATCTTCCTGTTGGGTAATCTTTTACGATTGTTCAGTTCACTGGTTTTAGGCTAGAACAGCACTTGTATACACTGCTACTTGACAACTGGATCTATGAAACTTGGTGTAGAATTCCGTTATGAGACAGTTTCTAGTCATTCAAGAAGGCATGAATATATGAAGACACTGTCTTTTCACATAGTCTGTGAATTTCTGAAGTTACCAGACTGTCAGTTTCAGGATACAACTAGGCAATCAATAGTTTTACAGCCGGCTTAATAAGTCAGCCAGGTTGTTGTTGTTGCCCTTGATATGTGTAGTTGTGACTTGGAAATCTTGCAGTGGTAGTGCCCATCTGGCGATTCGATTGTTCTTTGGGGCACCAGACTTAATGACGAGCAATGGCTGGTTGTCTGATTGTAGGACAAAAAGTCTGCCCAGGAGGTAATGATTGAGTCTTGTCACACAGACAATCACTGCCGTAACATAGTGTACCTGGGCTGGATACAACCTACTGCTCACACAGCAGTTCGGGTGTAACATCTCGCCATCACACTGCATCAGACATACCGCAACTGCCGTACCACTGGTATGATATCTGAGAACAAATGGTAATATGATATTAGACAGATTTAAAATAGGGGAACTGGAGAAAAGAGTCTTGATTTTGGTGAAAGTCTGATCTAGTTCTCGGTTCAACTCAATTGTATTGGAATGCACCCTTTTTAATGGTTTAGTGAAAAATACAGTTTCCTGGATAATGTTCGGGGTAAATTGGTTGTAATGATTGATGAGGTCGAGTAAGCTTCGGATCTCCTTATTGTTGGTGGAGTTTTTAAGATTCAAAATTTTGGGAAGATCCTCAAGATAAATTTGGATTTTTGAGGGTTTTTCTGTAAATCCAAAATGTTGGGTTCCTTGACCATCAGATAATCTATGAGGCATCATTAATAAACATGCACATGCACATGTCAACAGTATACATTGCAATATCAGAAATAATAAAGCATGTTTTATTTTGACCGGTTTGTTGATTATTAGAAAGCAAATGCTGGTAAATTTTGTGTACATCTGCCTGGCACATCAGAGAGTACATTACCAATTTCAGCTTTCTGTGTAGATGTTTCTGAAATTTGTTTGTTAATCTTAGGTGTAAAGATTTGTTTGGTTGCAGGTAAGTGTTGTTGTACAGAAAAGAGAATATCTGTCGTATCAACAACATTAGAGTCAGGAATGACAGTTCTATTATGGAACTCCTCAACCACTAATTTGTCAGTTGGTTTAGAAGGGATTGGTAACAATTCTTCCGAATAAACATTATCGGGAGAGATTTCACTTGTTTTATTTGTGTAGAAATTCTCTGAAAGGTTTGTTTGAGTTGATGTGTTGACAGTTAAAATATTTTTCATACATACACTTTCATTCACATCACTCTCTCTCACTGACTGCTGTCCAGTTACAACATTGCAAGTTATGTTGTCCCTCTGCCACTCGATTATCTCACTTTCAGAGACATCCTTTACATTTTTACAGTTGCCAAGGATAATATCAGCAACAGGGTCTGCTAGCACTGCAAATTTTGTTCTACCTGTGCAGTGAGCTGATTTTAGATTGGCCCATGCCAAATCATACTTTTCTTTCTTCCCTGAAAAGGTTCGACATACAATATGTTCACCCGTCAAATCACACGCATTCACTAGACTTTCTCTTATACCAAAAACTGTCGACCCAGAATCCCGTAAAATTGTCACTACTTTTCCATTAACTACCCCTTTCGTGAACTTCAGCTGGCCATCGAAACTCGTTACAGCATTTGCATCCCCTATCTCACTGTGACCACAGGTCAGATTACCCTCTTCATTAAACCCTCTGTAGGTCTGGCATCCTGTGTCAGAGAAGTTCACAAGCTCAGCTGAATTTGCTGTAGGTACATCTGCCATACTCCCATCAGACAACTTACTTTCAGAATCACTGCCACTCTCAGACGTTTCTGCAGCCGCACTCTGATGTTGTCTTCTTCTCATCTTACAATCTTTTTGCAAGTGATCGATGGAGTCACATAGTCAACACTGGAGTGGGTAGTTTACTGAACTTTTCTCATGCATTGCTTTCTCTCTCTTACGAAAATGATCTTCATACTTTGGGTTCTGCTCACACCACTGTCGTTGACCATGATCTCTCTTACAGTACAGGCATGTTACTATTGGTCCTCTATCTCTAAGAGGTCTGTAACTCTTGTACTCTCTCGAGTGTTCTCCTTTCTTCTCGTGAGTATATTGCTTTTTCCTGTGTACAGGTTGTACTGCAGCTCCGTAACTTACATCTGCACCCTTATTGAAACTAAAAATGTTTCTGTGTGCATTCCAGTATGCAGCACCTGCATCTTCCATCTGCTTTACTGTTTCAGGTTTTTGCTCAATCAAAAACGTCTTCATGCTGCTCGGGACACTTGACAACACCTTGTCTCTTATCAATAGATCTTTTAAACAATCGTATGATTTGTTCACTTTCGCCGATGTTACCCACTTGTCAAAAGTGGATACCACCTCAGACATGTAATCCAGAAATGTCTGTTCAGCTTTCGGAATCAAATTTTTAAAGGTATTTCTGTAAGATTCCTCATCTAGGGAGAAATGTTGGAGAATTCTATCCCTGACAAAGTAATAATCCTCAAGTTTTTCAGTAGGGATTGTCTCTAGTAATTTCAAAGGTTCACCCCCTAGGTGTTTTCGGTAAATGAGTGACCACTCTTTAAAAGGGACCTCATAGTGATTAACCATACATTCAAAATTTTGTGTCCAAGCAGATATGGAATCACCCTGTGTAAAAAATTTTATTAGGCCCTGGTACTTTTTGAAAGAAGGTTCAGCAGCCTTTATCTCAGCCTTACGCATCTGCACCTCGGCATCTCTAGTTGCTTCTATCTCTTTGGCCTTTAGTTCCATTACCAGCCTTTCTTTCTCTAGGTCTGAATTGCATACCATCTCCTTGAGTCTCAAATCAAACTGTACCCTGTCTCTCTCAGCCATCGCAGATAACTCCTGTTGTTTAAGAGCTACATCTTTGTCTTTTAATGCTGCCTGGGCTTCCAGCTGTTTTTCTATGTTGCTTGCCTCGATCTCCTTTGTTTTCCTCTGGGCTTCTAACTGTTTTTCTATGTTAATAGCCTCAATCTCCTTTAGTTTACTAGCGGCTTCTAGTTCCAATTTCTTGAGTTCTCTCTCGTCAGCTCTGTCTTTTCTCTCTTGGTCACGTTCCTCTTTTTCTCTCAACTCTCCATACTTCTTATCCGCCCATTCCAGCACCTTCTCACCCGTCATCCCATGCTGTTTGGCCATCTCGATAAATTCAGCGAGACTCGACATCTTAGTAACAACAACAGTGATCTTTCGTTCAAAATAATAATCAACAACCACTCAACAAATCACCTGACTAACCGTAGCTGCCACGAACAAAAATACTAAAAATTACAAGTGGCAAGCCCGGAAATCAGTGAAAACAATGCAAATAATATAGCAAATTAATAAATGCAATACAAAAATAATAATAATTATGGAACAATTTGGACTGTTCGATACAGAAAAGGGATGGGTCACCGAAACTTATCGTTACAATTTCTGAATGAGGGTCGATGATGTGTGTGCACAAAAAAAAAATTATTACACAAATGAACAGCACTAGTATCACTACGTGGAAAACAAATTCACACACGAAAACACCTCGAAGAAATTATTGACCTCTAAATAAGACGGCACACGCACGAACGATAACGTACTACTAGATAAACACTTATTGACAAGAAAGCACAACGATTGGACAATAACTGTTTACGAACAAGACGCTACAAGCATATATCTTGACAATAGACCCGGCTGCACAACGAGTTGCAGACGAGACTAGAATCGCAATATAGCTGACACGTAATCTTATGTTAATCCTAGCAACACTAGACAACTAGGGACAACACAAGACTAGCCCTGCCAACCACCCACAAAAAAAAAAACGTAAATGATGAATAGGACAGACGAGAAATGAGAAGGACAATGAACGGTGCCAGGGGCTCAAATACAACTGCGTAGAACCCTCGAGGGCTGGAGAACAGACCACAACAATACACCAAAAGCAAAACAAACTTATCTTCTCTCCAGTCCTTGATTCTTGGCCTCCCACAGAAAGGATGATGAGGATGATGATGATGACCGAGAACGACAGGCCTCGGTTGATCGGTGTCAGCAGCAACCACTCCACAGCACACAACCTTCCTCACACTCTTTACTGTCCGTCAAACTATTTCTCCTATACGTCACTAACTTGTCACGACGCAAACGCAGCCCTATCACATTTAGTCATTATTAATTACAATCAGTCGGAACAAATACGAAAACGATAACAAACTATCACTTTATAGCGCTACGGGTGACCCAAGCCAACCCCGATGTCGCTATCAATAATTAAGAGTAGGCCCGGACAACGATGCAATATTTAAGAGAATTAACTCAGCAACGCCATCACAAACTTACTCGATAGCAACATCAAAATTAAGGGATTAACTCAATCACGTTAGCCCTACAATAGTGAACGACAAAACTTAAAGAAAAATAAATCAGTCAGCTAAACATACAAACTAATCTATGTCTCCTATTTAGACAAATAAATACAAGCACATTGGGTTCACAATTAACGCGGACAACTATTCCTATCTAGCTACTACCATAGGACGAGCTCCCATAATCTGTCACAGACCTCTGGTATGACCTTGCTGGTCCGTGGCTCGTAACTGGGCCTATGACAGACAGACTAACCTTTAACACACACTGAACCCGAACGCACACAGAGCACACACGACAATCTTTATTGGAAGTACAGGTAATACATAGACAGTTGACTTCCCGCCGTGTGGCCACCTATTGCCTGGACCCTCTGGCTGAACGGGCTTTACAATCGCCTCGTCCCCAGTACGTGCGACAGGCAATCTTCTGGTGTACAAACCACAACCCGGCAGGATACGCTCTCTTCTATCGCCACGCTGACCCAATCAAACTGTCACAGTCTCTGTCTTAGTGCAGGGTCAGAGTGTCAAGGTTAGCCACTCTCTCACAGCACATATACATAAATACTCTACACAAGAACTATCCTATCCTAACACAAAACTGTACATAAACTATCCAGTCACTAACAGAAATATATCCTAACTTTAATACTATAACTTAAACTATCCAGTCACTAACAGAAATATCCTAACTCTAATACTATAACATAACTGTCTTGCTAAACGTCCTCTCTTCCTGACCGACGCACACCGAATGTCCTGTTCTCTCTCCCCCCGTGTCTCTTGACCCCGTTCACCAGCTCAGTCCCAAAAGCAGTCATCGTGTTACTACAACACAGTTCAGTCTTTCTTGCTTTATCCTGAGCGCTGGTTTCGCCGTGCGATCACAGAACGGACTTGACCAGTCACGGCCCTGACCTTTGTGTCAACCCTGGGGTGTCACGTCAACACCCCCACCTACGGTGTGAAACAATAATAGCAGAAGGCATGGTACCAGGAAGGAGCGGCAGCAGCCGACCGACACGAAGATGGGCACAGGATATAAGTGACTCCTTGAGTATGAAAGTACATGAGGCGGAAGAGCTGGTAAGAGAACGAGTTTCTTTCAGGCAGACCGGGATGAGAGCGACGTTCTGCAAAGGATCTGCTACATAGTGATGACATAATGACTTTTTCTCCACAGGCACTGCGAGCTGTCATACTGCTCCGAGCTTTACCCAATCTGCTGTGTCATGCCTACCTGAGTGTGGCCATGCCAGTCAAGTTCTTGTTGGCCCTGAGGAGAAGGAAGTACTTCACCCCTAGCCTCGGAGAGGATCCTCACTCGGAGACACTAGAACAGATCAAAAAGTCTTTCCAAGGGAAACATGTGACTAAGTTGCTGCGGAAACCTGAAGTTGTCATGTGAGTTATTGTCACTTCTTGTTACCTTTGTTGTCTTTTTGATGTAAATTTTTTTTGCTGTTACTGTTGTCACTGATGTTTGTTTTCATGCTGTTGTTGTTTGCGGAATTTATGCCTAAAGCTTAGTATTCGGATATCAGATTAGACAGTCGTGAGAACAAGGCGTGATTATTCCCCATATTAGAGCACCATGTATCATATGTTCATTTACTGAAGCTTTTTTGGGTGGCGGTGAATGCTTTAATGCTCTGTCCACGACCGGCTTCTTCTGCTGACAGGCCGTGCTGCTGACGTCACCGGATCAGGCTAACGATGCGTTAACGCAGCGGTTCTCAAACAAGAAATAAACTTTTTTGGACAGTAGCGTTGGATGGACAGATGATGGAAGAATTGATAGGGAACTTGAGGCAAGATGTCAAAAGGCGAACGCAGTAACTTACCAACTCTCCCCACTGCTAAAACACCCAAGCATCACTATGGCACTAAAACGACAACTGATAAATTACATGTTTATACCAACCTTCTGCTACCAATGCCAAACCTGGTCCCTAACAAGAGCACAGGAGAAAAAGATCACGACGTGCGAAATGAGATGCTTACGTTAGGCTGCCAATGTCACAAGGAGAGACAGTTCGAAACGAGAACATTAGATCAATTGTAGGAACCACACCATGCCTGCAATACATAAAGAAGCAACAAATAGAGTGGTTTGGCCACTTTGTGCGAATGCAAACCGACCAACTGCCTCTACGAGCATACAACGAACAGCACTACTGCCCTAGAGCAAGAGGCAGACCGAGAGTACGATGGATAGACAATATATCAGAGATTCTGAGGCAAAACGGACTAACAACAACACGTGCAACACACCTGGCCCAGGATAGAAAACTGCGACTCCCCACTAGGCTGTGAGGCAATTGTGGACAAGACAAGACAAGACAAGACAAGACAAGACAAGACAACAAAAGGCCAGACAAGACAAGACAAGACAAGACAAGACAAGACAAGCGTTGGAAGAAAACTTAAATTTTAACTTGTAAGTTTCTACATGCCTTCTTTTATAATTTCACAATTTGTAGCCGACTGTTTTTGATTACTGCTGCGGCACCCCTGGCATACGCTCACGGCACCCCATGGTGCCTTGGAACCCAGTTTGGGAACCACTGCGTTTCCACATCTTTAGCCCCACCCGGTGACATCAGCAGCACCCCCCCCCCGTCAGCTGGAACCGGTCGTACTCTATCCGTCTTCCCTGTGGACTACTGGTTACCTTTTAACTGTTTTGTGGTGCCCCAGTATAACCATTTGTACCGGCTACCGTTATGTAGTAGCTCTGATTTGACTAAGCTACCTTATAACGGTACTACGTATCTTCTTCTAGCGCCTGGTTCTCTAGCTCGGATGCTTAAACCTGACTGCGCCGCGACCAGGTGACGAACTCCTTGTGGTCCGGGTTCACGCCCGGGGGTAGGCAGAGAAGCCACATTTCTCCCAGTGGCATGGTGTCATAGTGTGATACTGTCATAGTGTCATACTGTTAAAGTGTCATAGTGTCATACTGTCATAGTGTCATGGTGTCATACTGTCATAGTGTCATGGTATCATAGTGTCATACTGTCATAGTGTCATACTCTTATAGTGTCGTACTGTTATAGTGTCATAGTGTCATACTGTCATAGTGTCATGGTGTCATACTGTCATAATGTCATTGTATCATAGTGGCATACTGTCATAGTGTCATACTGTTATAGTGTCATAGTGTCGTACTGTTATAGTGTCATAGTGTCATACTGTCATAGTGTCATGGTGTCATACTGTCATAGTGTCATGGTATCATAGTGGCATACTGTCATAGTGTCATGGTGTCATACTGTCATAGTGTCATTGTATCATAGTGGCATACTGTCATAGTGTCATGGTGTCATACTGTCATAGTGTCATTGTATCATAGTGTCATACTGTCATAGTGTCATACTCTTATAGTGTCGTACTGTTATAGTGTCATACTGTTATAGTGTCATACTGTTATAGTGTCATACTGTTATAGTGTCATACTGTTATAGTGTCATACTGTTATAGTGTCATACTGTTATAGTGTCATACTGTTATAGTGTCATACTGTTATAGTGTCATACTGTTATAGTGTCATACTGTTATAGTGTCATACTGTTATAGTGTCATACTGTTATAGTGTCATACTGTTATAGTGTCATACTGTTATAGTGTCATACTGTTATAGTGTCATACTGTTATAGTGTCATACTGTTTATAGTGTCATACTGTTATAGTGTCATACTGTTATAGTGTCATACTGTTATAGTGTCATACTGTTATAGTGTCATACTGTTATAGTGTCATACTGTTATAGTGTCATACTGTTATAGTGTCATACTGTTATAGTGTCATACTGTTATAGTGTCATACTGTTATAGTGTCCTGGTGTCATAGTGTCCTAGTGTCATAGTGCCATACTGTCATAATGTTATACTGTCATACTGGCATTCTTTCATACTGCCATAGTGTCATACTGTCATTCTGTTGTACTATCATACTGACATTTTGTCATACTGTCATAGCGTCATACTTTTATACTGTCAGTCTATCATACTGTTATTTTGCTATTATTCATGATGTCATGATATCATTCTGTCATACTCTCATTCTGTCATACTGTCATTTTGACATACTGTAATTCTGTCATATTGTCGTTTTTTGTGATTATGTTTTGTATCATTTTGCCAATTTTAGACCACCTGTGGGGAAAATGAATATTCTGAAGGCATTCTTTGGGGAATTCATTAAGACATGGATGTACCGTACAGAGAGCGGTAAGATAGTCTTACCTTTCAAATAATGTGTTCACTACATGTGTGGTTTCAATTGTTGCTTTTTGGAGAAAAACAAGAATACACCAACGGCCTCCCTAACTAGTAAAAAAAAGAAAAAGTAAAGATCCCTTTTCACGCCTCTATGCGCATAGGGTATATGGGAAGAGCACCTATACTTTTACAGACCAATCGGTACTAGGTGGGTAGTATGGTCAGCATTGCCCCGGCCGTCTTGACTTTCCCAGAACATAAAACCTGGTACTCATTTTAAGCTGGGTCGACCTGCGACGCCCCGTATCATGATAAAATTGGAATTACGAGTCGCCTCCCTACACATCATGTACCGTAAGAGTGGACTATCTAGAGACGTCGGAGTGCATTTACCTCCGAGGAGGCGAATCAACAGTCAACATAAAAAAAAGCCAAATGGACAAAACAGATATGCACCCACAATTCAAGCTCAGGTACCAGTCTAAAGTTGATAAACAATCAGAAGTTTCTGAAAGAATTTACATCCAGTGAACATTAAGGAAGAAGAAGAAGAAGAAGGAAAAGAAGAAGAAGAAGAAGAAGAAGAAGAAGAAGAAGAAGAAGAAGAAGAAGAAGAAGAAGAAGAAGAAGAAGAAGAAGAAGAAGAAGAAGAAGAAAGAAGAAGAAGAAGAAAAAGAAGAAGAAGAAAGAGAAGAAGAAGAAGAAGAAGAAGAGAAGAAGAAGAAGAAGAAGAAGAAGAAGAAGAAGAAGAAGAAGAAGAAGAAGAAGAAGAAGAAGAAGAAGAAGAAGAAGAAGAAGAGCAAGAAGAACAAGAAAAACAAGAAGAAGAAGAAGAGGAGGAAGAAGAAGAAGAAGAAGGAAAAGAAAAAATGAAGAAGAAGAAGAAGAAGAAGAAGAAGAAGAAGAAGAAGAAGAAGAAGAAGAAGAAGAAGAAGAAGAAGAAGAAGAAGAAGAAGAAGAAGAAGAAGAAGAAGAAGAAGAAGAAGAAGAAGAAGAAGAAGAAGAAAGAAGAAGAAGGAGAAGAAGAAAAAAGATGAAGGAGAAGATGACAGATTGACAGTACGATAGTATGACAGAATGACAGGAAGACGGAATAACAGTATGACACTATGATAGTATGACACTTTGATAGTATAAGATAATACCAGTATTATAGTATGACAGAATGACAGTATAAAAGTATGACAAAATACAAGTTTGATAAAAAGACAGTATGGCAGAAGTTTTGTGCGTGTGCGTGCGCCTGCGCGCGCGTGTGTGTGTGTGTGTGTGTGTGTGTGTGAATGTGGGTGTTTATATGGGCGTGTGTGCGTGTGTGTGGGTTTGTGGGTGGGTTTGTGGGTGGGTAGGGAGTGAGTGTGTGTGTGTGTGTGTGTCGGGGCAAAACATAGACACCCCGAGCTGCATAGTCCGTGGCAAAAGCACCTGCCACGCGGCAATAAATCTTTAGTTGTGTAGTTCAGTTGTGTAGGGCCAGCTAACTTCTTTAAATTTCAAAATAGAATTCGCCTACATGGTCCGGAGAAAAGATCTGGGTTTTCAAAGGCAATAAGGACAGTTGTTTGTTTGCTAATACGACTAAGCAACGTTTCTGTGCTTGTACCTATTTAATTCTCATTAAAAAAAAAAAAAAACATAATTAAAAGTGTTTTACTGTTGACAGTTTAAACAACAACATAAACAATAGACTATACAGTTTGTTGTCCTCTCCCTTTTTTGTATTTCTTCAGGTGCATATAGAAATGGAAAAGCCGAAGCTAGTAATTGAATCCCTTCGACTGGCTTTATCTAACTATATAGTTTGCCCTTGACAAGAAGCAGCAAAATGTTTTAGACAATAATGTTTAGTCTGTTTTTGGCTTTCTTTGTTCGAATTAATAGCAGGCAAACATTGCTGTGATTGTGTCGTGTCGTGTTAACTTTAGAAGTAACAATTGACAAGCTATTCGTTTCTTATTCAAGTGCTGAGTGTTCTTCAGATTATTTGTGTAGTCCTATATACCCAATACACATAAAAGAGTAGATGAAAGGTCCTTTCTTTTCATAGAGTATGAACGACATTGATGATCATTTTTAAACGGTTTTTTTTCTTCTTCAGGTTTTCGGTACCCCTCGAGGCTGGCGTCGGTCATGTTTATAGCTGCTTTTATTATCTATGTTGTAAGTATTATTTCGCATGTTTAAACTGTTAGCTGTAGGTGAATTTATGGACCACTAACTTTAAACAACTTTGGGTATATATAAGAACATCTATTTTCAGACTAGAGATGGAGGCAGTCTCATCAGCTATACGCTGGCTTGAGAACAGGATTGACTCACATATCATAATCCTAACAGACTCAGAAAGCTTGCTTAAGTAAGGTGGAGAAAGGCATCCTGCGTGAAAAGTGGGAAGCTTCGCTGCATAAGTCTCCCATCCATACATGTGTATTGAGATACTAACATGCAGACATACTGGATGGTGTTGCACCACTGGGTGGTAATAGAAGCATGACAAGTGAAATGTGGCCAATGCCCTCTGGGAAACAAATGAACAACGCGGAAACGTAGATAGATCTCTTTAAGGTGTGGGAAGAATAGTGACTAGCGGATCTGAACGACACTCTACAATCAGAAAAAGTACCAGAGGAACACATGATCAGACTGCCGTTGGTACCAACCGATTGAGACCTCTTCGCTGGCTGCTGAAGATTGGAACTGAACGCTCCTAAATACCATGACGTCAGTTCTTAACCTAACTGAACTCAACTAAAATTGTATTATCTTTTGCAGGTTTTTTTTTCCTTGTTCAGAATGTTGGCTACAGACATGCTCCGTGCAATGTGGCAAGCATCGCTTAAGAGGTCCCAGATAGTTAGCGTCCTTCGGGTATTTTCTCCAGGTGATGCTGGTGTGTTGGGAAACGAGCAGGCAGATAGATTGACCTGTTCTGCACTGTTTACTTGGGTGTGAACTGATTATATGAAACTAGACATTGTGAAGACCCTTTGGGAGCTAGTGAATAGAGCGGAGGGACAAAAAAGGTCATTACGGTCTGATGAGAATAGCGCTGCGTGGAGTTACTCAGAGTTCTGACCGACGCACAACACTCAAGGAAAAGCCGAGACGGATATACAATTACACAATTACTGGTACCATCTGAATTGGAAACTCTTTGTTTGCTGCTGAAGATAGGAATGGAGCACCTATGGGAGTGTCCCGAGGCTATAAAGTCAATTAATAATTTAACATTCAGCATTCACCATGCATATGTTTTGTTTCATCCTTGTGATTTCATTTCCTATATTAAGGTCTGTGTTCTACTGTTGCAGATTTGCGTGGAACTCCTTGTTACGATAATCTCTAATTTCAAGGTCATTCTGGACGCCTCTATGGCCACCATGGACGCAATGCAGGAAGACGACCCGCTTCATACGTTTCTTTATTATACCTGGTACTGCTTTAAAATATTACAAGGTTGGTTTTCGCCATGCATCCTATGTATTTAACAGTGGTGAGGCGGGATCAGTTCGCATTTGTAAGCGGTATAGATAAAATAAAGCGTTAGCACAGAGAGGCTGAGTGGTCTCTAGGCATAGTGTCCGCCTCGAGTGATAGAGGTTTTGGGTTCAGTCCCCGGCAAGGGCTGGGACTTTTTCAAGTGGACTCGGACTTCTAGTAAATCACCCGGTCTCTGGGTAGTGAGATTGGACGCCCGTGTACATTGTTGAAAAAAAAAAATAAACAATTCCGTGGCAGTTGGAAATCGAAAACAGTAGCCTAACGGCGCTGTCCTGGCAAAATTTGGAGTTGAAAATCTACCCAAAGTATTTCAGTATCCTCGCCGGTGCTACAGAGCCTGAGTTCACCCAGTCTCTAGGTAATGGGTATCAGAGTTAACACTCTGGAGTAAATAGAGGAACGTGGCTGTAGCTACAGAGTTACGTGTGGACGGTGACACAGGCGGACAGTTTCTTATCAGCTGTTTGTACAGGTGGCAGAGCGCTTATGGTTTATAACCGTGTGCAATGACGCTGGTTCACATCTCCCGACTTTACTTTTTACCTTTACAGTGATTGTATAACAAATGACAATAGAAATAACACAGTTTTGATTCTTTTTTAGTTTAAAAAAAATCGTACTTTGATCACTCTTTCTCTCTGTTTTTTTTTTCTTCTTCATTAGACAATAGAAACGATTATTATAGACTAAAGTTTGAGTCTTCGTTTTCCCGTTTGTTTTCTGCAGTATCATGCATAGTCTCGGTGTGTGTGTCAGCTGCTATCGTCTACCTCAACATGATTCACATGACGACGTCGTTTCGGTATGTCCAATCAAGTCACATAGTTAGGCACCATCACCACCACCACCATCACCATAATCATCACCATCATCATCATCATCATCATCATAATCCACTACCATCATCACCATTTTCACCACCATCAACCATCACCATTATCATCATCATTATAATCATCACCATCATCATCCATCATCACCATCACCACCACCAGCATCAGGGTCATTACCATGTGTCTTGTCAGAGATCTTTTGTGTTGATACATACTCAGATATCTAACTCAGATATCATGTCATTCCAGGGATTTCGGTCATTTGTTGCTCCGTCTTTAATCGAGTTTAAATCTCCTGAAAAAAAAATGGACACCAGTGGTGTAGATGAGATGATTAAAATCTTTCTTTTGTCGTCTCACTTCTTCTGCGTTCGACATCAGTCATGCTACACATTGAGTCCCCTCTGGGTCAAAAATAGGATTGCGCGTTTAAGGTCGCCACTGGTCCCCCATAACTTCTCTCGCAATGTGGATCCTCTGGGCCAGATCCACAGTCTTTGCTGGGAGAGGTAAGGGCAGTACCTGTCGTCTCACTGATACCAGGCTGTAGCTCAGTGTCGCGGTTTTCTGTATTTGTCTTGAGCTTAGCTTATGGATTTGTTCATCTTTGTTTTGCACGTTTCAGCTACACCATTCATCCATCTCTTTCTTGGTCTTCCTCTCGCCTTTCTCCCAGATGTTCTGCTGTAACAATTCTGGTCTGGCTGCATTCTCACTAGATGGTCGAACCATTTCATTTTTTTTGTCTGTCAATATAATCCAGACATGGTCTTATTCCATCTGTCTCTGTAATGCTGGCATTCGCAACTCTGACCCTTCTTGTGTTGTTAGTGACCTTGAGGTGACAGCGCCCTTCACATTTAGTTATTTTCTGTTCAAGTGAACTATTCGTTGTCCATGTGTGGCACTGATAGCATAAAATAGTTATAAAGACGCTAACAATCATTTGCTGTTTTACTGGGAGGGAGATATTTGGGGGTCTAAGCAGTGGGGCTAACTGGTAGATGACAGCATTTGCCTTTTATACTCTGGCTTCTATCCCTCTGTCGTTTGGGAACCTCTGTAAATATGCTTCTCAGATATTTGTGCTGAAATAAGTCAACAAGGTAAAATAGAGCTTTGAGACAGAACCAGACAAGTTCCAGTGAACCAAGAGGTGAAGAAACGACGCTGACATTGGATAGGACACAAGCTGAGAAAACCTTAGAGCAGTATGACTAGACTGTCTTTGCACTGGAATTGAGCCGAAAAGTGAAGTTTAAAAAAAAAAAAAAACAGGAGGACAAGTAGATAGCTAAATGCGATAGCGAAGGATAGAACGACTTGGCGTGAGTTGGTTGAGGGCCTATGCTCCATTGGTGTTAGTAAGAAAGAAAAGGACGAAGTGTGAATATCAATAGTTTATATTCCAGGTTACTTTATAAGTGAAGCGGTGTCCTAATATAGACTTTGTATACGTACACGATTGGACGGGATTTGTGATATTTGAACGTGTCTGATCTGCAGCCTAGAATGGTTTTTTTGAGTTACAAAGTGGTGGTCCACATAATAAAATCGGAACATAAACGATTTTTAACAATTACAATATTCGCAATATAAATGGTTACAATGTAATTTTTTTTTTAACGTGAGAATAACAATAATTGTACAAGTTAAAAAAGTTGTCGTTTATGTCATAAAACGTGTAGCTTTTTATTAGTTAAAATGTTATCGCAAATATCACAAAACCTCTAGCGGTAGTAGTTAAAATTTTATTATGCTTTTCGCAAAACCTCAAGCGTTATTAGTTAAATTGTTTTCATATATATCACAGAAGTCTAGCGTTACTAGTTAAATTATTATCTTGCATTTCACAAAACCTCTAGCCTTAGTAGTGGTAGTAAATTTTACCACACTAGGACATCACACAAGCCATAAACACCCGATGACACGAATTACCACCATGTGGATCAGGATCACCCGTGGAGAGGTTCCGGAAACCGCGTTCAACCATTTGACTATATTTATGGTCGGGCTATATTGCGGCCCCTGGAGACGGACTTTTCCAGGTTAGGGCTCCCAGGTCAAAATTAGTGGGTAATTAATCCCGGGAAGTAGAGGCGGCCGACGTGATATGTACCACATCACCATTCTCTGTGCCGTTACTCTATAAAAATATGATCGTGCCCTTTGCACAATACCCTAAAGGCGTTAAGGGTTTTAATTGTACTTTTTTATATTGCGTGGCAAGAACCAGGTTAGGGCTTCAAAATTACGAAAAATTAATCCTAAAAGGGGATGACTGGATATGTATATGTTCTAGCCTTACTAATTAAAATGTGATCGTGCATTTCACAAACCTCTAGCGTTGACTAGTGACTTTCTAAATTAGTTTTCACACAAGTGCATTTGACACAAAGTGCCACTATGCGTTACTAGTGAAGAGGTCCCAGAAACCGCGTTCAGTTTGCATTTTATAAACCTCTATATTGCGTCTACTAGCCAGAGTGGGGCTTTTTACGTGCATTTCACGTAAAAAATACTCTAGCGTTACTAGTTAAATTGTTTTCGTGCATTTCACAAACCTCTAGCGTTACTAGTTAAGATGTTTTTGTGCATATAATAAAACCCCTTTCGTTATTATAGAAAATGTTATCGTGAAAATCACAATATATCTAGTGCTACGAGTTAGAATGTTGTATTGTACGCCATACAAGTGTCGCTGTAATTTGTTATTAATTAATATGAACACTTTACCTTGCAGAACCAATTTGTATGCCATGTACAGGGGAGACTACACAAATATTCCTTCTCCGGCTACCAAAAGTGCTGTCGCTTTGTGTGTAAGTTCATGATGTACATTTGTAAGAAAGTGTGCCAGTCCTTTACACAGAAACATTTTAACCAACAGCCACATATACATTCATCATCACCATCATCATCATCATCATCATCATATACCCTGCCAGCTGGCGAAGGCGCTCATGCGTCTCCACAGATCACGATCCCTGGTTGGCTGGAACAGCTCTCTTGATGATATCCCTCCATGCCATTGTTTTAGCCCATGTAGCTTTATCACTCTTGGTCTCCCTCTGCCCCCTTTTCAGCTGATCTTTCCAGTTGTCACGATGTTTTCCAATGTCTCTCTTCGCATGTACATTCACATATTAAATACAATTAACAGAAATAAACATCTAAACACAAACACACGTAAACACATGCAACATACATAAATACATACACATAAAGATGCAAAGCTGCCCTGGCAGCGCCGTTACGCTACTCTTTTTTTTTCAATTTCCAACTGCTAATGGATTTTTTAAAGTGCGCAGCAATACACACGGGCGTCCGATCTTACTATCCAGAGAGCAGGGGATATTACTAGAAGTCCACGTGAAAAAAATCAAGCACTCAATGCGGACGCCATGCCTAGAGACCACGCAGCTCCCTGGCACAGGTAGCATAGGATAGGAATGAATATACTTTGTATGAAATGTCTAAATACTTGGTAAGTTTTACTGCAGAGCTTTTCAACAGAGTTTATTCAGGGTCCACCATTTTAAAAATGGCCATAGGTCTGATACTGTAGATCCGGCCCTGATCCGTGGGCCATGTGCTAAATCTCCGCAGGCCAAAGCTGGCCCAGAGGCCGCCAGTTGAATAGCCCTGTAAATACTACTTCTAGTCCTAATTTCATCATCCAGTTTAACAACTTCGGTGAATGTGGTTCCCATAACTTTGAACTCATTAGTATGCCTGTTTAATGCCTTTGCACTCTACCGCTATATGTAGTTTCTGATTCTTTCTTTCTTACTGTTTCTGTTAGATTCTTACCCGAATAGTAAAGTAAAGTAAAGTAGTAAAGGTCCATCTCCACGCCTATTAGACGTATTGGGTATCAACAGCTAGACCTATATTTTATAGATCAACGGCACAAGATGTGGTCAGCATCATGCCGGCCACCTTTACCTCCCAGGGCTGCACCCGGTACCTACTCCAGGCTGGGTCGACTTGAGAGCCAAGGTCATTTTTGGAAAAAGTCCGGCTCCGCCAGGGAGCGAACCCCGGACCTTCCGTGCCACAGGCGAGCGTCTAGCCGTTACGCCACGGCGACTCCCTAACCCGACTGGCTCACACACTAGCTCTCCCACTTAATGATTCTTTCCTTTATTTACTCACCCTTTCATAAAAATTATGCTATGTTGAATATTTGTAATCATATTAATTAATCGTCTCTCTCTAGACGGCCAGCATCAAGTTTGCCGGCTTTCAAGTGGCTTATATCATATGGGGTAAGTTCTAACTTGTCGGTGTTCGTCTGTGACAAGTGACGATGACCAGTCTGTTCATCCATTGGTGACTGGATTAGGTTTTATGAGTGCGCGGATGGCTGATAAGGCCAATTATAGCATTGAAAGTTCTTGAACAAGGTGGACAGAGAATAGAAGCCGCATCTCTCTGGTGATTTGCTTCAGTATCTTTCCTGGCTTGTCTTTTCTGAATTTCTGCTGCAGTTCTAGTAGCTTCATAGGCATCAGCTCCTCGATGAAGAGAGGAGCGCCTGGATAAGCAGTCACACGCAGCCACTTCACAGGTTTTAGGATCAATACATAAGTCTTTCAGTGAGGTCTTGAGACTTGTCATTGAAACGTTTCCCTCGAAGTCGGAGTACAGCTACCCATGAGGCAGGGAACAACTAAACAGTTGTACACGCAAAACTCAGGTCCAGGTAAAAGCCAAAAGTCCAAACGGACGATTAACCCTGACCTTCCGCCGGAATTCACAGCCGGTGAACGAAGAAGAAGAAGAAACGTTTCTTCCGTCCACTTTGAGAGCGTTTTCTTTTTAGTAGCTCACCATAGAAAATTCTTTTTGGCAGTCGGTAGTTAAGCATGCGGATAATATGACCTGCCCAGTTCTAACTAGAGCAACAATTACAGTTCTTTTGCCTGCAGTTTCTAGCAGGTCTCCCAGTCATACAGAACATCAT